GAGCTGGGCTCTGTGCCCCGCGGCTGCGGGCCCGGCGCCGCAAGGAGGCTGCGCGGGAGGCGCCTGGCGGGCAGGTCCCACCCGAGGCATCCCCCGCCTCTGCGGGCAGGCTTGCAGGCAGGCAGCCCCCGTGAGACGAGGAGAGGGACCCCGGCCCCGGGCGGCTCTTCTGCGCGGCTAAACTGGTGCGCTGGGCTGGGAGCGCACGTCTGGTGCCGTGCGCCGCTGCCGCGGCCCGGGGGTGCGGGGACGGCGGGTCTCGGCGCTGCAACCCGCCTCGCTAGACTCAGCCTCCGGGTGTCTCAGCCCCGCAGCAGGATCTGACCCCGGGCCGGGGAGGTGGAGCAAGGGGAGCCGGCTCCCCCGCCTTGACCGTGGGCGCCCCACCTTGTCGCCTCTTGACTCGGTGGCCCGCAGTGCTTTCAAGCTGCAGCAAGGGAAGCTGAGGTTGGGCATTAGGACAAACTGTCGTCACTGGGACGGTAGTGAAGAGGCGCCCGGAGAGGAAGCCTGGCAGCCGAGCCGGGTGGCGTGCCCTGGCAGCAGGGGAGGCGGAGGTCAGGAGCAGGGTGGTGGAGCTGTATGCAGCAGGCTGCCCAGGTGGGTGGGGGATCTCCATCCCTGGAGATTTTCAAGACCCAGGTAGGCAAAGCCTCGGCTGGGATGATGTAGTTGGGTCCAGCCCTGCGTTGAGCAGGGGGATGGACTGGATGTGACCTCCTGCGGTCCCTCCCAACCCTCCTTGTCTATGATTTACTTTCCATGAACATTAATTTCTGTGGCAAAGGAGAAATGCCCAAAGGGAGTCCCAAGACGTGTCAGAGGGTGAGCGTTTAGCCCCACCGGAAAACCCAGCCCTTTTTACGGTCCGGGCATCTAAGGTTGCCAGTGACTTTCCTGTTCCCGGGACTGAATGCCTGTGGAGCTGTACAAACGCACTCCCTGCCCCTAGGACCTTGTAGGCTCACAGGTTTGTCTCTGTTAGGAGAGTATGAGATCAAAGCGCAGCAGGGAGTGTGGAAGAAGTCCCTCTGTGCGCGTTTCCATCCTGGCACAGGCCTGCCCTGCTCCTGCTGCCCTCAATCCACTTCCAAAGCCAGTGCTGCAGTGCCGACTCCATGTGTGGACAAGCTAGCGGGTCTCAGCTCATCCTCGTGGCAGGCCTGTGCAGCCGTGCGGCACCCAACCATGAACAAATAGCTTGCAAAATTGGACCTAAGGCCCCAGTCCTTGCAAATGCTTATGTGCACCTCTCTGCAAGTCCCGTGAACTAGGCAGGACTATTCATCCAGTGAGGAAAATGGCACAGACGTGGGCATGCCCGGGGAAAGGGGCTGTACTCTGGCAAGAACGAGGGGGGCGCTGAGCTGCGGGGAAGGCCAATGCTCTGTGATCACTCGGGAGGTGAGTAAATGGAGACTTGGCCAGAGCAGTAAGTGCACTTTTACATTATGGCAGTGATGTGTGATGTTATAACAAAAGTCACAGGCTTTCACAGAGCCCGACCGTGAACGGAGCACCCTGTCGCCCACCAGCGGCTCTGTGTTTGCTCTAGCCAGGGCCCTAATCCATCGTTTTGCTAGAGGCCACCTCTGCACAGTGCGTAGACTCAAAAGCCTCGTAACATGGCCACTGAGCGGCCTCCTATTGTGTGTGGAGAATGCAGCGAGGAGGCTTTCCTGACCCTGATCCCTTTTCTCAGGAGGTTTGCGGCCCTCCAGGCTGAGAGGGGGCACGGCCCTGCCTGCGACCTCGGAGGACCTGACCGGAGGGGTTCAATGCTGGTTTGGGTTTTACTGCAAGCGCAGGGTAGGGGCTGCAAAAGCGTGCGTGTGCAAACCTGTGTCCGCACATGTAAGGTATCCAGGTTGTAGCTGTATTGGTCTAGAGGAAAAAGCTATTAGGACTCATGGTAGAGGTGATATCTTTTATTAGACCTTGATTTTTTGGGGGGAAAAAATCTTTAATTGCAAGCTTAATTGTAACACACACACACACACACACACACACA